ACAAATAGATGAATTGACAGAATCTCTCGCTATGCAATTTTATAGGATCGAACTGGCGGAGCAGAGAAGGTTGATGGGGATTATGGAACATCATAGTAAGGAGAGTTTTGGGGGGAAGGGGGTTGGGGAGGGTAAGGGACTGGGGCGGGGGGTGGAGGCTACAGGAGGGAAGGAGGGGAAGGGGAGTCAGGGCAAAGGCAAACAAAGCGAGGGGAAAGAGGAGGGATCGTCGTTGCCGCCTACCAGACCGCCTTCTATCCCACCTGGTATGATGACTTTTGGAGTTGGGACGAAGCCTGTTCCGATGAAATGGGCGACTCCTCCGCCTGATTCGGAGGAGATGAGTGGGAGTTGGAGTGGGGTGGATTCGAGGGAGGGGAGTGTGGTGGGAAGTGGTCGCGTGCACTCTACACGCGATTCACTGGACGTACCAAGCCGTTCATCCGACGTACCGTCTATACGCGACTCATTCGACCTGCACTCTACACGCGATTCATTCGACGTGCACTCTACACGCGATTCATCCGACATACCTCCACGCCGCTCACCAGACTTGCCTTCAACCCAAGACGCGTCCGAACGCGATGTCGAAGCAGGCGAGGCTTCATCTGCAGATGCCGATGAAGGTGATGAAGGTCAACATACTCAACAGACCGTTTTTCCGTATAGTATTACGGCTGGTGTTGAGAAGGGGACTAAGAATCGGTGAGTTTTTTTTGGCGTTTTGTGGTTTTTTGTGCGCTTTTTGGGAGGGCGGGCAGGCTTTTTTTGTCTTGTATACGTTCAAGAGCCGTTCATCTTGGATAAGTCGGATGGCCGTTGGTTTTTCGTCGTCGGAAGTCGTCCCTGGCGGGGATGAGGCGGAGGTATTTCTTCTTCTTTTGCTTCCGTTATCTGGTGCGGACTTGGTGTGCCTTAGGTTTGGTCATCCTTGGATTGCTCTCGTTCCTGATCTCTTCTTGGGGTTGGATGTTACTTATGACGTGATATTTTTCGAGAGATCGTTCGTTATACGCTGTCAAAGTGCCAGTGATCCGCCCCTCGCCCCCCCACTTCCCCCCACTTCCCCCTTCCTTGCATGATTCTCTTTTCATGACGACTCGTTTGCTTCGATCGAGGTTCTCTGTGAAGATTGTTTGTTCCATCTGTGATTTTCACCGATCCAGACGTGTCGTTGCTACGCTCCCTCCCCCCTCCCCTTTTCGAACTCTTTCTTTTGATCGACAATCGTTCTTACCAGTGTTGTGGCGTCCAACAGGTACAGAAACATATGGCCATTCGAACATGCTCGAGTCCGCCTTTTGCAGCCTTCCACCGCGACTTCTTCGGCCTCGGGTGGTACCTTGCTACGTCCACGTTCAACCTCGTCCATCTCATCCCACCTCAAACATCCCCACTACCCCACCTTCCCTCTCCCTCCCTCTTCGCTTCCTCTTCAAGCGATTCGTGAAGAGGGTACGGGCAATGATTCCACGACGAGCGGAAGTAGTTCGACTGTTACTGCTGGACGGGGAGTTGGGAAGGGCAAGTGGAGGGTTGAAGAGGGGACGGAGTATGATGATTATGTTAATGCTAGTTATGTCCAGCCGCTTGGGACGAAGAAGAGGTATATAGCTACGCAAGGTCCTTTGGAAGCTACCTTTGCTGATTTTTGGACGTGAGTGCGCGTTTGCCTTTGTGAAATTTCGTATGCTGATGAGGTCGTGGGGACTGCAAACTAATTGTTTTTTTTTCCTTTTTTTTTGCTGCTTTCGTCTCGCCTTTGGGATGTAGGTTGTGCTGGGAACAAAACGTCCACGTCATCGTCATGCTTACGCGTGAAGTGGAAGGTATGATGGAGAAATGTGGCAAGTATTGGAGGGAGGCTGAGTATGGGCCTATCAAACTGAAAGTGTTGGAGAGTAGTGGGACGCCTGAAGATGAGAATTGGGACTTCTTTGGTGGGCGGGGTGGAGGTGACAAGTCTATCGAGAAGGAGTTTTTCCCTACCCTTGCTGCTGAAGAAGGAGGTAAAGGTAAAGAAAAGGGTGGAGATGGGAAGAAGGGCAAGAAGAAAGATTTGGTGAGGAGGGTTTTTGAGTTGACGAATATGAGGTATCCGGATGCTGGTTCGAGACGGGTGACGCAGTTTCAGTATTTGGAGTGGCCTGATATGAACGTCCCTGATGATCCTCGTGGAGTGTTGGATCTCGTTAGAGAGGTGGAGAAGGAGGTTGAGAGGCTTAATGATGTGAAGAAGGCAGAAGAGGCCAAGAGGCGTGAAGGTGTTAATGGTGGACGTGAGGTGAGTGGGGACGTTGTTGAACGGGATTTCACGTTGGGGAATGGGAAGGAGAATGAACTTGATCCACAGTCTGGAGTCGTGAGACATGCCTTGGACGTTCAGGATCAGCCTTTGTTGTTGCATTGCTCAGCGGGTGTTGGAAGGACAGGTGGGTTTATCGTTGTAGACGCCGTTTTGGATGGCCTCAGGAGGGAATTGAGAAAGATGAGGGAGGAGAAGGATAGAGAGGAGGAGGAGGAGGAGGAGGAGGAAGATGATGGTATGGATGTGGATGTGGATGTTGATGGTGGGGATGGTAAGCCGCCTTTGCCTTTGCCGCATGTTCAAGAGAGCGCCAAAGGTTTAGTCGCTCCCGTTCCGGTGCATCCTGCGCCTCAATCTTCGATGAAGTGGAAGTCGGCAGAGGCGGAAGGTGTCACGCCCACACCTACTCGTGATGACAGCATGGAGAGTTTGCTCGGAGATGGTGGCGACAGGGACGTCCCCATGGACGTGGATCAAGAATCTCTTCATAAAGCCCCCTCGCCACAACCAAGCACGCACACGTGGTTCACATCCTCCAGGGAAGACTCTGCACCCCCGCATTCAGCCTACGAAGGTTCCATCGAAGCATCTTCGTCATGCGAGTCTAATATCCCTTCGATTTCACCGTCCGGTCCCCCCTCGAGGTCTCCACGTGGAAGCTTCGCCGTCCCCTCTTCAACTTCGCCGACGTCGTCGTCGTCGGATAACATTGTACGGATATTCCCCTCGATGTTAATTTCGGGGGGTAACGGTGCCAATTTGTCGGCGCCTTCTTTGGCTGCTCAGGTTGGGGCTACGCCGAATCAGCTGTCTCAACCCCAGACTACTCGATCTTTCATCCAAGAAGGAGATACGCGCCTGAGAACGTACTCTGCGCCGACTGGGCCTTCAGGTAAGTAGCTTTTATGCCATTGAGAAACCAGATGCTCAAGGAATTTGTAGTCAATGTCACCCCCAGACTTCCTCACGAATATCAAACTAACCCCCGATCTACGGGTCTTGCTCGTGACACCACTGTTTCGGGTGCCAGCTCTGGCTCCGAGAGCCCTGGCGGGTCGGAATCTTGGCGGCGGGGCTCATCATCCGGACCAGATATGCCTTTGCAGGTAAGTTTAGGGCATCCGAGGAACCTCGACTTGCTCCTGTTATCCTACGACATCCTCTACGCATACTATAGTGATCTCGTTCGTCTACAGGACTCCACGCACTCATCTTCATCTTCTTTATTCATGTCGAACGACCCTCGACGTCGTGGGTTTTCGGACTATGCATCGACGCCGCTTTCGTCTTCCTTCTCTGGTGGCCACGGACCAAAGACTCTGGCATCGGCATTCGGATCCGAGTTACCAGATCTCTCGGTAGAGTCGAAGGAGTCCAAGAATTCAAGGAGTGGAACAGGAGCTACGAATGGCGCGACGAATGGCGATTCTAATGGGAACTCCAGCAAGACTGCGAAGGAAGGAGCTAAGGTTGGAGACACAGGTGATGGTAAAGGTGTCAGAAAACCTGGCAATAGCTCGATCGATGCAGCGGACGCACCGTCGTTTTTCAAGTCGATGACGTTCGATTACACTCAACCGAGGAAGTTGCATCAAGCCGACTCTCCACCACCACTCTCATCCTACGTCGAACCTATTAGGGCAATTGTAGAGGATATGAGAGAGCAGAGGATGAGTTTGTGTCAGAGTTTGCGGCAGTATGTGTTCGTCCATCGGGCCATCATTGAAGGGGCTATACAGCTTGTGGATGAGGACGAGGCTGCCGCTCGGGAGAAACGGAAAGGGAAACGGGAGCGAATGGATAGCGAACCCCCCGAGAGAATGGGGTTAGCCAAACCGGAGAACGTTCCTCCCACACAGTCGAATCCCTCAACTTCAGGGACTGGATCTGGATCTGGATCCGGGTCCGGCTCAGCTTCGACCGTCGGACACCAGTCAGCAGCACTCCTTGTGCCCGTTTCTCCATCCAAGGGGAAACGACATGCGAGTCCGACCGATTTATTCAAGGAAAGCTCCGAAGGACAGGGGAGATTGGCCAAACGCCCAAGTTTAAAGCGCAAGAAGGGTAGCAGTGACAATGCAGCTGTGTTTGACATACCCTTGCCTCGACCATCATCACCATCACCATTATCATCGAACAATTTTTCGTCGTTTGGAAGCGCATAGCAAGTACATAGATATTCCGTTGCATTATCGTCTTTCCGTCATTTCCTTTCATTAGTCCTTGCACTTCCTCTTTGCTGTCGCTCTCGAGTTGTATTATACGCAGCACACTGCCACTTGGTGCTCTCACTGTATCCATTGCTATCCATTGTTCCTCATGGAAATAATTTATGGTCGGCTGGCTCCTCGCTCCCTTGACTGCCTAGATATCTTCAGCCGGATGCTCATATACACTCCGACTACCGTTCTGCCTGACGTGATCGTCGAACTAACTTAGTTGAAATCGTAACCCTAACCATTCTCATACAGTGACTTTAATTCCAGTAGGGGTACTATCCGAGGGGCGAGCGGGAGGTACACACTAACTGGTCGAAGGCAACGTTAGTCTCCAGTAGCTGGGGTCAAGATTCTTGATAACAGGAAAGGACGCAAATGATCATTCGCGAACCACTGTCCCAATCTCATCTTTCCTTTTCTGGTTGTAGTCTCAGGAACAAGGAGTACAGAATCGCCCATTAAAAATATGGACATGACTTGACCAGGGCTCGAACCTGAGACCTTCTGTGTACAATTTTCCAGTGTTAGACAGATGCGATAACCAACTACGCCATCAGGCCATGGCGGCGTCGAGGTACCAGCGCTTCAGGTTAATCCGACGCTGTTCGTTAACTATCATCCGATCATTCCGGGATCGATTTTCTCCTTGTTCTGTTCAGCTACTAGCATCTGCAACCGAAACCGACCGAACTTGAATGCGGAGTCGGGGGAAGACTCCTACAGACAGCCTTGTCTTTGCTCTGTATCATGCCCCGTGTTCAACCGACAACGCCCTTTGCGATACCAAAAATGTAGGGATTACTCCATAATAACAATCATTTCCATGTCCGAAGGTCATCCTAGACTTGAGCATACCCCTCCACGATATCTTCAATCCCACCTCTCCCTATTTTAAACATCGCTCATCTGGCTAAAGATGATCGATGCATTTTGACTCAAATCCCACTTATCCTCCCGTAAGAAGGCTATTCCCTCCTCGTGCATAGTCCCCATGGTCCCCGAAAGCGCCAACCAAACAGCATCCTCATTGTTCTTCCCAATGACAAGGTACAGCTCCCTAGCGCACACCTGTAGCTCTTCGTGCGCGTGCTTCTGCAAGAAACGTCTGAAAGCGAGCGTCACATCCCAAGCTGACGAATCCTGGATATGGACTCCCTTCATCGCCGCGGTCATCGTCTTCAATGAGGACCTATAAAGTCGATGCGAATGGGTGTATGCAGACTCGGTTCCAACTGCACCGGGGCCACGTCTAGAGAGAGCACTTTTGGAGTCCGCGATATCTAGCTTCTTTAATAATCCGCGGAAGCGAGGCCAGACATCATCCCAGATTCTTTGCCCCATGAAGCTCCCCACGTGGGTTGCTAGTGACTCAATGAGAGCTGCGGCAGCGCTGACAACATAAGGCTCGGGATCCGAAAGACGGTTAAGAATGAATGGCCATGCATGATGGATAGAAGGGAGGAGAGCTGATTCGGGCAGTACGGGTACTGAGGACGAAAGTAAGGTGAGGATGCGAGCCCGAATCGTGGGCATGCCATGGGTGAGAAAATACAGCGATCGAGAGACGATTTGCTTGGTGAGAGTCTGCGCCGGCGTCGGTGGTGGATCGACACTCGGGTTTGGCTCTTGAGCCGGTTTTTGTTGCTCATCTCCTTCGCTTTCTTCAGCGGTGCCTTTGCCTTTGTCCCCACCCCATGCTTCACGAGGGGCTGGTCCATAATCCTCCTCGCCCTCAATCCCGGGTTCGTGGCGTGTCTTGAACCAGCCACAGAGTGCGTCAAATCGCTCTGAATCCTTCGGCATAGCCTGGCTAAACCTGACGTCCTCCTCTCGCTGTGGCGTGTCCTGTTCTTCCCCCTCGATAACTTTGACGACTTCTCCAAGAACTTCAACCAAAGCTTCAACAACACCTTCATATCCATGAAACTCGTCCAGCCTATCAAAAACTTCCTCGACCAAATCTCCCGCTCTTCCCTTCACAATGACATCACGGCCTACTAGGTGTACGACCAGCCCCAGGACCTTTGCAGCATCCACATCGACACCGAGACGCCGATTGCTCAATCGGCGCGAGATGCCATCAAGAGCATAGTCAAAATTAGACATGAGGAGATTCGATGGAGTCGCATGGGATGTTGACGAGGCGACTGTCAGGAGTGTAGAGTAGGCGGTGAGAGAGAGGTGAGGGGATGAGGAAAGAAGCGTGGACAGGATAGGATATAGAGTGTGAAGCAGGAGAGGGGTGAAGGAGGACTGGAGGATGAGGGAAGAAATAGAGAGGAGTTGGAGGCGGAGGGATTGGTGGAGGGTGTGTTGGGCGCTGCTCCCTCCAGATTGATTTTGAGACGAAGCCGACGGAACGCTGGGATGTTGGGAGATGGTTAAGCGGACTGGTCTTAAACCTTGCCTGTATTCGAATGAGGTGTTTTCATCCGCAATGGATAATTCTTGAGTCGTCGCTGCTTGCTGAGAGTCATAATTCGTAGTAATAGGATCCTCGAGGTCATCTTGAGCACCTTCCTCCCACATTTCCACGACGCTTCGAGCCAAATTCCTTGCTAGTTTCGTTAGCCTCCTACTCTTTCCCCGAAGGACATCAGCCCTTTGCCCGGAGCCCGCATAATCTCGTGCTTCCATATTGATATCCACCAGCACCTGCCCACTAACCCCCTCTAGAATCCGACAAGCACACCAAAGAGCTGCTACACCTGACTTACTCCCACGGCCGGCACCTTCACTTCGCCCTGCACCCACACTCACAAACCACTCGACGGAAAACAAGCATTCCTCACCTCCCGCGCTTCCCAGGGCTCTGAACATCCTTTCGAGCGCTTGGAGCGTGGATCGGGTTGACACATTCTTGAGAGTGAGTTCCGGAAATGGGGGTGGAGCGTTTGTGTCCCTCTGCGATGAAGTTGATTCGAGAAGAAGTAGATGCCCGGGACGAGAGGGAGAAACAAGGATCGATGGCGGAAGAAACTCCAGAACAGAGAGGAGACTCCAACCCCATTTTTCGATCCCACCCGTGGGTCCCAAAAGTCTTGCTATGCCAGAGGAGATAGAAGAGAGTGCGGGGATGGCCTCCGATTTGGCCCCAGTCGGAGCTGAAGTCGAAGGTGGAATTGACGCTGTCGTCGACAGTCGACAGATCGCCTCAACAAGAGAAGCTACATGCTCCACTTTTGCATCGGACTTCATGGGGAGTAACCTAGGCAGGGAGACCAAATTATCTCTGGTCATCTGCATCAGAATACCAGCCAACTCCCCTCCCCTCTCCCTCATATCCCTGTCCAACAACTCAGCAAGCTCCTTCTGAGCAACGCCTGACACCTTCGGAAAATTCGAGTTTGACAGCGACAAAAGGAACGACAGGAGGAGTGGTTGGGACTGGGGAAGGGTAAGTGAGGTGGATGAGAGAATACGAGAGGAGAATGTGGCAAGGGCACGGAGAGCGGACGGTGTGGGGTGCGAAAGTACGGGAGTAAGTGCATTCAAAGCTATGTGCACTTGCGTCGAAGTCGCTTTCAGCCACACAGGCGTTCGTGGAGTAGAATATGGAGGCGAAGGTTTAGTCTCCTGGGTCGACTTCTCATCGAGGGGGGATGATGAATCAGAGGCGAGGTCGGCAAGGTCTTGAAGTTCGGTGATATTCCGTATGGCCCCTTCCCTGATGCAAATATCGTCTCCGATAGCTTTGACGATAATTTCTTGTATAACTTTGAGTGAGGCTGCAACGACATCCCCATTTGCCCATCCCTTCCCGGCTTCTCTGGAACTCCTCGTCCCAGCATCCGCCCCCAGGATGATCCTACTTGTCGTGCTCACTACACCGGGTAACACCGACGGTATGAAACCATCCGCCAAGTAAAAAGCGACTAGCAGGTGTAATAGCTCCAAAGAAATTCGTTGAAGGGGAAGGTGATGAGAATATGCTGTTTGCAACAGGGAATCGATAGTTTGTCCGACGATGGGGATGAATCGAGGAGACTTTGTCGTTGATTGAAGTTGGGTAAGGCGGGCGGAAGCTCGATCTTTAGCTGCTTGCTCACGCCCTCCTGAGCCTGATGGATCCTCGTCCGGGGTTCTGACTCGCAACAAAGCCAACAAACATGATGCAGCAGCATCTTTTGTTTCATCGTCTCTTTTCCTCCCATTCTGGCTCTCATCAATCCCACCTAAAATGGCCCCACTCAATGTTACCATCTGCTCCCAAGTCTTCAAATCACAATCCCACCACCATGTATCGCATAAGAATCGTAAGACTCTGAAGATCTTCTCGAACACTTGGTCGGGGATAGAGGAGGTAGGGTTTCGACGAAGGAGGGTGGAAATCGGGAAAAAGGTGTACCCGACGAGGGAGGGCGTTAAGACATGGCTTGAGTTTGTGCATTGTTGGAGGGTCTCCAGTAACGATGAGAGGAGCTTGGAGACTTGCGGGATGGAAGAAGGCGTAAGGAGGGAGTTCGCCAGGAGAGGAACACACGATACTTTTAACTAAAAGGCAAAGACTAGCCTGTGGAAGATTAGTTCGAAGACATTTATGATGAGAAACATACCTTGCGAAACAGATCTTGAGTTTGATCGTCACTCAATTTCGACATTCTGAATGTACGAATGGCCTCTGACGAGATGATACTACGAGGGATAGATGGATGTCGATGAGCAAACGAGCCAAACGGCTTTGGAAGTGCAAAAGTTGGAGGGAAGTTGATCACAGGGCGGATGGGTCAAAGTCCAAACGACTGGCATGAATGTATAAAACAAAGAGCCAAATCGCAACCGTTGATGAAAGCTTTGCACTGGCACGCGCAAGTCTAAGTTGGTAAATGGTTGGAACGCGTTCCTCATCCTTGTGCGGTTCACTCGCCTTATTTATTTTCCCTACCCTCTCTAGAACCCTATTCACAAGTAGATTGTTGGCCAAACAGGTATGGAAAGTTATGGATCAGATAATACATTATCTTTACTTCATACACTCATTTTCTCCCCCACCATCCTCCCAGTAGGCTCGTCAATCCGCCACGCGCAGCGGCTTGTGGTTCAGGGGTTGCTGCTCGTTCCACCTCCTCTGCCTTTGCCCTTGTGACTGGTTTCTTCTCCGGTGCGACGGGGGCAGGGGTCGACACTGCGGATTTGGGTGGCGCAGATTTCTTCCCTGCCCGCTCTTGTAACCTGTCCATATCTAGCTGCACATAGTTCAATGCGATATCGAAAAACAGAGGCTTCTTGTGAGCTTTGCTGCTCTCCGGGTTGATCGAACCACCATTGTACGCAAACCAGGAATTCTTGAACTGAAGGGCGTCCAAAGCGACATCCGCCTCCAGGGAATCGATGAGATCCGTGGTGAGGGGATAGAAGGCGGGTGTGCCGAAAGATATAGGGTCAGAGTCCGACGTGGACAGGATAGTGCTGGTTTCACGCAAGTGTAACTGAGATTGCTGCGTGAGGGTAAGGCTCTCCGCATATTTCTTCACAGCGGCATAGCACCGAGACAGGAACAGAGATCTGTGTGAAACCCGTTAGTCAATTTCCCGCCGACCAGGAGGGGGTATTTACCTGC